TTCTAGCTGTATAGTTTGTAAACGTCATAAGTTAAATATGTCATGATACATTTTAACCTCAAAATTTTTTGTTTATTTAGTACGCACCTCTATAGTTTTAAACGTCAAAAGTACATGATACTTTGGGAATAAATTATATTACTTGATAAATTATATAAATAAAAAAAATATATATATATATATATATATATATATACTATTAACAAATACTGAACATAGTTAAGGCGCTACCCTGACCAAAACCTGGCAAAAGTGCGTTTTTCAGACTCTATTATCTCATTAGTTATGAAAAATAAACTACATCTAAAAGTACATTATTAATGTTCGATATCTTATCATCGCATTCCACGTTCTAATTTATTTTTATGTGCTATAAATACATTTAAAATCAACTTTTAAAAAATGACTAAAATTCTTGATTACATGCATCTGTTGCTAAACGCAACGCTCTAATCATTTGAGGATAACACTAATGGATAGATAATGAAAAAATCCATATTCTCCACGTTTTATTTAAATTTTTAAGTTCGTTTTTTCTCTTTTAATTGAAATAATTCCGAAAATTGTGTGACTTCTATGATAAAGGGGCGTGCGCAGAGTGCGGGCGGCATTACGCTGTATGCGTTTGTACGAGGTGGCCGCGTCGCTGGTCGCGGCGTCCGTATTTCGCCGCAAACATAATATTATTTGAGTACCTACCAACCGATGCGCTTACGTCACGGTATATTGTAACTCGGCCGTATCTTAGAAATAAATCTTACAGCCGTGCGGTACGTAAACATGCATAGGGCTGTCTGCCTCCAGCATTTTTACATTTGCCCATTGATTTATGTGTTTTATAACTCAATGCATTTTCCTACTTTGTGTTTCCATTTAGTTTATGATTGTACTTAAATATACTTTTTTATATAAACAAATATATAATAGGTACTTTGTGAATTGAATAGGAAGTGTTCAATAAAAATGCGTGTCGTTTTATGATTGGTAGATTTAATTAAAAAACCATGTTTATGTTTGAATAACAAATCGGTCTTATAAATTTGCGGCCGAAAAATATTTGCGCCTCGGCTGAGACGTACGAAATGCTTTATTATTAAAATTTTAAATATAAAAAAATCCGCATTATAATATAAAGCTTAATTAAAAATTGTTTTGGGAAACATGGACAAGTTGGAGTAAAGGAATATCTTTTACTCGGTTATAGATACCTGCAGCTACTTTACAATTTATATGTTTGGTTTTAAATGAAGTTTGGATTTATTATTTTTTTATTTCTATTCTATTTTCTGAAAGGGTCCTAGGAAAGGAATTATCCACCGCGCTGCCCCACTGCGTGTTGGCGAACTTTGCATGTCTTCGAAATATTTTTTTTCTTATTTCTCAGACATGCAGGTTTCCTCACAATGTTTTCCTTCACCACTGAGCACGTGGTAAATCAACACTTAAAATTGCAATTACAATATTATTGGTGCCGGCGGGGATCGAACCCGGTTTGCTCGCACACTGTGAAAATTTTAGCAAGCGCTACTAACCATCTGAGCTACCACCGCTCCTCTCCTCTCGAGCTAGAGACTATTTTATTTATCGTCAGGCCTGTTGGTCTAGTGGTTAGTGACCCTGACTGCTATGCCGCAGGTCGTGGGTTCGATTCCCAACCAGGACAAATGTTTGTGTGATGAGCACGATCATTTGTTCTGTGTCTGGGTGTAATTTATCTATAATATTTATGTATTTAGAAATATATAAGTATGTTTATCAGTTGTCTAGTACCCATAACACAAGCTCTGCTTAGCTTGGGACTAGATGGCGTTGTGTGATAGTTGTGGAATATTATTATTATTATATTATTATTGTTGGGGTATCTGTATAGTTTTCTCATCTGGTTGGTTTTTATAAATATATAACTATAAATTAAAATGAAAAGATAAAAAAATATACATAAATATTAATAAAATAAAATAAATACAAAAAATACACAAATAAATAAGTTGATAAAATCAAGGCAAACTTAGGGTCAATTATTATTTTGATAATTAAACTAGTGAAATTCCGCGGTTTTATATGTTTTACATAAATATCCTAAAAAACTTATTATTTTAATATTTTACTAAGTACCTATAAAATTAACAAGTTTATTGCATTTTTATTTGAGTAATTTTTTAAGCAATTTCTTTATCTACGTCTATTTTTAGGAACCTTTATTTAGTCTGAATCATACATAACACTATATTACTGATTTACTTACTTATACGTAGTTTTCTTTTTTTGCAGTTACAAATATCTTGTGAGGTTGAAAAAGGCAGTAATGAAAAAATAATAAGAATAATAATAATTGACGTCAGCCACTTCTTTTCATAAAAATTTCAGATCATGGTCCATTAGGTTGCAGCTTCACCGAACCACAACTTATAATAATAATAATAACAGTAATAATATAATATTATTTTGTATTTATTTTATTTTATTGATATTTATGTATATTTATCTTTTCATTTTAATTTATAAATTTTATATATTTAAATATTTATAGAACCGAACCAGATGAGAAAATTATACGGCTCCAACGATTTTAGCGACGAACGCTTGGATTTTTTAGAAAATGTCCTTTTGTCCATGTTTTCAGGCAATAAAAAAAACTGCTACAATATAAGAAGGTAAATTTCGACAAATCACTAACGGTCGTTATAGCTCAGGTGGTATGTCGGTCGGGCGTGATATCGGAGTTCCGTGGTTCGCGTCTTGGCTTTGGTCCCGCTTTTTTTTCCTTTTTTTTTCAAGTTCCCTTCTTTTGTGAGAAAATCTATTATTTCAAACCCTTTTTCTTAGTAATTTTTAAAAATACGAAAATTTTAATTTTAAAAATTTAAAAAAAAATCTATTTAGTTACTAATGCTATATATTTATTATTTTAATAATTACCTACCCAGTAGGTAAATATTAAAATAATAAATGTAGCATTATAAACAGTAAATCTCCCTCAAACTCAATTTACTAATATTGTTCCTGAATAAGGAATAGCAGATAAGAGATTAGTAGGTAATAACTATTGCTCCTCAAAATTATATTTGACCTCAAGGTAAAACATATCCTAAAATTCAGTAGCTAAATAAAATAATAATACCTACTATTCAAGTATATTCTCAATATGTAAGTAAATGAAAATAACAAAAAAGCACCATTAGCATGTAAAGTTCGAATCCATAATTAACATTTCGACAAATATTATAATTTACTCTATAAAAAGCTAATTCAATATTAGCAGTATAGTATATAGTTAAAAATAATCAAAATAGTCATTTTTATTAATTAGATAATATATGAGAATACATAATTCTAATATAATGCAACTAATATACCGAAAAAAGAAAATTAAAATACACATATCATTGTCTGCCGTGTTTATTTCCATAAAATAGTTTATTGTCATTGATAAATTAATACTACGTTCGTACCAGTAGGTGGCGTCTTGCAGATTTCTACGCGATGTATTGTAGCGAGAGCGTCGGCAGGCCAAACGCTCAAGGTCGTTCGCTAGGGGTAAAGCCTTAATGATCTGCCGTATTTGTGATGTAACTCTCTCAATGAATGTCACAAAATATGATTATTGTCAGATAATGAAAATGTTAATTATTATGTATACGTCCAACTCCTCTTTATTAGGCGCCCTTTGATTTATGAGAGGAGAGCTGCCTTAATGCCTGTTGCTCCTCATCCTTTTTTTGCTTTATTATACAATTCAATTCCAAAATGTCTGGTTATCATAGTGGTGCTTTGGGTGTAGTGTAGTAACAGAAATAAAACAGCGAAAAGCCTTTAATACATAAATTTAATTTATCATTGTCAAAAGGTATGTATTAATTTAATGTAAATAGTGGAATATTTCTAAGTAAAGGAAAGCTAAGCATCTTATAAAAATATTTACTTTGAAATAGGACATAACAGATATTGGGCAAGTTATTGTGTATGAACATCCACAAACATTTATATATTTGAATTTACAATTTTACCATTCAGTTCAACAAGTATAATATACATAATATACAGGTGTTTTATTATTATATTCGTTGCGATAAATAACTTCATCATATTATATAGACACTGTAACTACTTAATATGGTTTGGAATGATGTTAAGACACAAAAGTTGAAAGGTTCAGTGCTCTTATCTTTGTGAAAATCAAATTGCACAGCAGTCTCTTATATTTATATTTTAAAGGGTTAAGACAAGACGGATTGAGCATGTCACACACTTATATTATGCAAAATGCCGTACAAATAAGAGAGTAAATGTTTTAATCGCCCACAAAATTAAGTTTCTACAAATTTTCAAAAAATTAATAAATTCTAGGATATTTTTTTAAAACTGCGTAACAAGTATCTTGAGATGACTAATTAATAAAAAAAAATTACATTAGATACAAGTCCACAAAAGAATGTTTTAATGAGAACGAACAACTATTTAGCATAAGATGCGATATCAAGTGAATACTGGATTCGCAATACGACACTGAAGCGATGCTTAAGTAAATATAGCAGTCACACTAACCAAATAAGACCCAAAACAATAATCTGAAATGATTTCTAACAATTATTGTAGGGTTTATAAATGCTGGTCCACCGATTTATACATGATCCCCTGAAACATAATGGATGAAATCCACTTCAAGGGTGTGACAGTAGCGTTTTGTAACAAGGAATCTATACAAGTGTGACAAGATATTTGACTGTTAACAGGAATTGTTACAAAATATATTTCTCACGTGTTCATATCGATAGTGTCGACTTAAGGAAATATATCGTTTAACTCACAATAAATAAATGAATATGTCAAATAAAAATTAAAAAAATTTAAATTTCAAGACAAATTTTAAAGTTGAATGATTTAAACAGTAACAGTCAGACACCTTATCCCGAGTGCTGTTGGCGGCGAAGGTTCTGCTGCGAAGCTGGAGTTGAAGCTGGTGTGGAGTGGGCGTGGGCGGTGTAGCTGCGCGCGGCGCACTAGGGCAGCGGCTTGTGCTCGGGGATGGTGGGCGAGGCGGCGCCGCTGGGCGCGCGGCTAGCGTCGCGCAGCGCCTCGTCGAAGCTCTGCGTCGAGTTCGAGCGCGACGCCACTTTGCCCTTCAACGTACAAAATGTTATGCACATTAATATTAGATTCAATTCCACCAATAATAAAAGGGCTTGGGTTGGGTTTGAAATTAAGTCGCCTGAATTTTAGGATTCTGTCACTGGTCAAAGGGGGTTTATCTGAAGCACCCCCATGCGATTGTTGCTGCCGGACCAGCGTCGAAGTGTTTTTAATTATTTTTTAAAAATATTGGTAAATCACTAACTAAACGTAAAATGAAACGTACATTTAACTAAGTTCTAACGTTTTTGACGTTGCATCTGTCAAAGTAATCTCAAAATGCGTAAAATGAATCCCTAGGCCGGCTATTCTCTTGACAGTGATAGATATACTTTACGTCATTCCGTTGCTTCCGAGTTTACGTGAATGTGCTCCCTAACTTTTGTATCTGCCTCCGTCGTTTTTCGACGTTTATTTTGGTGTTGTATTTGAGTGTTCGGAAAAATCGCCGATGGTAAACAATTCCACAGAGAAGTTGTACGAGACCGAAAACTTCTAGTAAAACGCACAGTGGTGGACCAATCATCCAGATGATGAGGATGGTATCGTGAATTTTGACGCGATGTGCGTTCGTGAAATTTGGCGGCTGGAACTAATCCAAGCAATTCCTCAGAACACCCCGTGGTAGATACGATAGAAAACGCAAAGGGATGCAACATCCCTACGCAGCGCCAGTGAATCGAGCCGATCAGAAAGAACTCGGTCGTCGACGATTCGAATTGCTCTGCGCTGGATGCGGTCAAGTGGAAAGAGCTGGCACTGGTGTGCCAGCTCTTTCCACTAGACATTATTCCATTTGAGGCCGAACTTGCGTTATGTAAAGTTGCAAGCGGTGTGCCGGCATGAAATACTGTCTCGCTCTGCTGAGAACGCCAAGCTTTTGGAGGCCAATTTGACCTTCCCCTACCACTTACACACTACACACACTGACCACGAAACTGCACACTATTTGATATGTCGACGCCGAGGATACTGATGCTAGCTGAAACATCAAGGGGAGTGCGTTCAAACTGAATAGATACGACAAAGGGGTTCTTTTTAGCGGTTAAACTTGTGTCTTCTGGGGATTGAATTGGACTAGATTTAATCGCCCTCAATCCGAGATATTGTCAAGCAAAAACTCGACTTCAGACACAAGTTTGTCCCTCGGTGAAGCGGCGACGTTTTCCCTAGAAATATTGACACGGCCGCTGTATAAGGAATCACCAGAGCTGTCGTCTGCATAGCAATTTATGTTACCAGTTTGCAACATATCATCAATATGCAGAAGAAACAGCGTTGGTGATAGCACGCAGCCTTGTGGAACATCAGCGTTAATAGGTTTGTAATCAGAGCATGCGAGAGCAAGAAAACAAGTGATCCAATCGCACAATTTCTCGGGACGCCCATAGGAAGGGAACTTCGAAAGAAGCGCTTAGTGCCAGACCCGATCGAAGGCCTTCGCTATGTCCAAACTAACGGCCAATGCCTCCCAGTTGGACTCTACTGCCTCCGCCTATCTATGAGTTAGGTAGACCAAAATCACCAGCTGATCGACCACGACGGAAACCGTATTGGCGGTCACTAATCAGCTGATGATCCTCAAGATACTTCGTGAGCTGGCAGTTTACAATGGACTCCATTATTTTGGAGAACAAGGTGATGGCGATAGGCCTATAGTTGAACGGGTCTGAGCGTTCGCCTTTTTTAGGGCTCGGGTAGACCAAAGCTGTCTTCCAAGAATTTGGAACTACACCTTGGGAGTAGGAGTACAGGAAAAGATGCGTTAAAACCGTTGCCAACTCCGGAGCACACGTATTCAGCACAATGGAAGGGACTCCATCAGGCCCCCTCGACCTACTGACGTCCAGAGAGAAGAGTACTATGCGAACCAAGCGCTGTGTAAACCGCACATCCAGCATGGAGCGCTCACACCGCGTGATGGTCGGCGGTGTGTTCCCCCATCATCGAGTCGAGTTGGATGCAAAGAGAGAGCCTAACAGATCGGCTTTTTCCTTTGCGGCATGGGCAAGTGAGTCGTTTTCTTTGTGCAGAGATGGAAGAGTTAACTGACAGAAGTTTTCTTGGACAGCCTTTGCGAGAGATCAGAATGCACGGGTTCCGGGCGAACTAGCTTCTCGCCAATTCTGCCGATGTGCCTTGCCTTGGCAATGATTCTTTTGAAGGACCTGGAGGCGGAATTATACTTCTTTTAAAGAGCGCTGATGTCTATGTAGGTAGCACTCCTGTTTATAGCTTGATGCTATTTTACCTTGATTTTATTTTGGAGCGACCAAACCATGGCTGGCTGCCTCCGATGGGCACCATACAAAACGGAATAAATAGTTCCATACTCTGAAGCAGCGACAGAATCAGCAACAACGCGGGGATCGTCCGGCGAGAATCAAACCAGCACCCGACGGTGGGATGCAAAAAAAGACCGCTTCATATCTCAATCGACCGACCTATAGTGCCAAAAAAGGCGACAGCCTGCAGAATGCAACCGCGACGTTAATGTGACTGGTTCCAAACTCCGGACAACAAAATGGCCCGACGAGCCTAGAGGGGCGTCGACGGAAACCTGATATCCGTCCGGATGAGTGGTAAGCAGAAGGTCCAACTGGGAAGGTATATGATCTTGAAATAATACTAGTTATTACGGAATTTATCGCGTATATTTAACTTTTTAATTACCCAACGTTTCGAGAGCTTTACAGCACCCATGGTCACGGGAAGGACTGAGATGTTCAACGTCCAGCTGTCATAGTTAACCGCGGTTACCATAGATTAAAATTTAACTTTTGTTCCGATCTACACAGTATGAACTTATGGTATCATGGAGTCTTGCAGTTGTATGCTTGGGTTGGGATTTAATTTAATTTATTATAGGATCCCAAGCAGATGGTAGCACCCAGCCATCTTCTCTATTGAAATTAGGATGTTTTTTGATTTCAATAGCCTCGCGAATCATCCTTGGAAGGAATCGGTGTTCTTTAGCGAGGATTTGTGGTCTATCAAATCTGATGTAGTGACGGGGGCGATCCTGTACATGTTCACAGACTGCAGACTTCCCGTGAACCATAAGATCATACTGTGTAGATCGGAACAAAAGTTAAATTTTAATCTATGGTAACCGCGGTTAACTATGACAGCTGGACGTTGAACATCTCAGTCCTTCCCGTGACCATGGGTGCTGTAAAGCTCTCGAAACGTCGGGTAATTAAAAAGTTAAATATACGCGATAAATTCCGTAATAACTAGTATTATTTCAATGTGTAGTGTTCGCGTAAATATAAGAAATCATTAGGTATATGATCTTCCACATTTGGAATCCACGTAGGCGACGTAACCAGTTGTGTCAGACCAAAGCAGTCATAAACAGATCTCCCCGCATGATCGGTTAAACGTGAACCGAGTCATTCGGCGTGGTAGGCGTTAAAATCGCCAAGGATCACGATCTCTGACGATGAGATCTGCTATAGCACGGAATCTGTAGCCATATGGACGTGGTCGATGAGTCAGTCTATTAGTATTACCGCTATGGGATCTATGGAGGCTCCTGTAGACGCGGGGATGGACAGGTCCGTACCTTCAAGACTGCCGATGCGTCGAAAACAGATGTCCTCTTTGACATATACGCAAACTACAGCCCGGGGCACAAAGGAATGTTCTAATTTGTACCCCGAGTAGGAGAGATATGAAGTATCAGCTGGAGAGGACACCTGAGTTTTGGTTAAAAAGAGCAAGGCCGGCTTCGCCGTCTCTAGATGGTAGTGAACAGCGTTAAGGTTACAATGAAGTGTCCGATGTTGCAAAAATTCACGGACGGACAGAGTTCACCTTGGTGTTGTTCCTCCGCTTGCCCCGAGAAATTTTAGTCGCGAGCGGAAATGCTCCCCCCCCCCAGAATACGGAAGAGCAGAATAACTTAGTCGTGGATGCTCAACGAGGGATGCTCCGTTACCAGGGGTGCCGGTTACCGGTACCCTCCTGGGGTCTACACTTGAATCCGCTACCATGTTAAGGGGGAGGGGGCGGAATTGGGCCTCCGGCCACCTGCACTCGCCAAGCCCTACATCTCTACTTCACGCTGGTATTCTGTCATATGGTCGGTATATATGGTAGGTCGTGGTACACCACCCCGGCTTGAGCCGGCCCATCCGTGCGACAGAAAAAGCTGCCGCGTGGCTCTACCACTGTCAAACTTATTTATTTATTTCCACCAACAATATACATTAATGAGATCAATAAAAAATACGTGCTTACATTTGAAACAATACTATCAGTAGTATTGTGGTGAAAAAGTGTATATTAAGCCACCAGGACCCCACCTCTAGATCCACGTGGACAACGAAATAAATGTGGCAACGATAAATGACGTTTTCATAATTGAAAAATAAAACCACATACACTTATTTTCTAGCTAAAAATATTTAAAAAAAATAAGAAAGAAAACAATAGCGTACTAAATAACAGAGCGCCAGTTTAAGCGACAGTAGCCTAATGGCAGAGCGCGGACCGCGAACTCAAAAAGGTCGTGGGTTCGAATCCACTATTCGACTACTGGCGTGAACACTCGTAACACAAGCAATTTAAGCTTACCACGAGTGGATAAGGGGAATATTATTAATGTTTATAGCATTGTTAATATTCTTTTTTTTTTAAATATCAGAGACAACAGTTAAATATTAGTTACAACGTTAAATGCTAAGTATATTTTACTATTTAATATTCATGTTTAAGATCAAACAAAACCAAACTTATCTATCCAAACTTAACAGATCAGTTACAGTTGTATGAGTTAGCAACATAGAATTCTAAAATACATACATAATAGAACGGGGGAGTGGGCGGAGCCCGTGTAGCGACTAAAATGTCACTAACATGTCAAATCACACATATAAACGTCAATACGAGATGTGTTTTGACGTAATAATCGTTTCAATATTTCGCATGCAAATTATTTAGAAAATACCAAACTGCACACTATTTACATATATATAAATATGTATTAAAATTTAAACGATTTTTAAATGATGATTTTGATCCTGTCAAAACTGCAAATTGGGTTTGTAGTAGTGATAATACGACGTAATTGCTTGTATGTGTGCTCCCGGCGATGCTGATTCTCAATAAGGTTGCCAGACATTCCATTGTGTATTACAGTATTCTATGGTTAGCAAATTAATGATACCGTTTACACTGTGTTTGGTTGTTTATTATCTTATAGGATATTACTAAAAGACAGAAGTTCAAAAAAATCGGGATGTACCTGTGTCGTAGACACCTGATGTTTTACCTGAATACGAAAACGTAACTAAATGACCGCTAAATGGCAGCACTCCTCGACATTATTTGGGCAATCAACCATTTATGGTTGCCATCGTCAAAACTACACTAAAGGTATGATGTAAATGTTGCCCAAACATTTGTGAATAAAACTTACTGTTTCTTTGTTGTTTTTGTGGTGTAATTTACGAATGAATGCTACAAACAATACTGAGACACCTGATCCATTGACTTCCTGCATATTGTCACTATATCTAGTTAGGGCCATCCTACCGTTCGCTTACTGGTATGAGGCTAAAACCGTACGGACTTTACTTCCGCATCAGTTGTCGGTTTTTTGAGCTATATGGCCGGCACATAACCACTTCAGCTTGCTTTTTTTGTTAATCTGGTTCAACTGCGGAGGTCCTCATTATAAATTTTACCACGCATAGAAACCCCGAGCATAAACTTCTCATACGGTCAGAATTACGTCTCAGATCCATTTTAAAAAGACAAAATATGTCATCACTGGCAGCACTGATTGCATTACCTCTTGTTTTCAAAATTTGAGGCATGCGTGACGAACGTAACTAATTTTGTTACGCATTAACTGGTAATTACTTAAAATCAATTTCATCTTTAAGTACTTCTTCAAAGAAAAAAAAGAAGAAAAAAATTGATTTGAGGACATAGTGTTTGATTAGAAGAATTGAGTTTTTATTAGTGAAAGCTCTTATGTATTTGTAACAAATTCATAGAAGATAAACAAAAATTTACATCTTAACATTTTGAAGCATCTATCATATTTACCTTAACATTCTCGTAAGCAGTGCCGACGCGCTCTTCTATAGAGCGAAATGAATCCGAGTTGCGCATCTGGCCAAGTCTGTTGGACACGCCCGCCGTGATGCCCCCCAGGATGGAGGTTGTTTTCTCCGCCGTCGATTTTATCACAGATTCAGTTTTTTGGTATCTGTAGATGTATAAAAGTAAATCCAAAAACAGATTATTATACATGAGTATTACTTTAACTTAACGTATTGTAAGTATAGTACATAATTTCCCAGTAAAACACTTCTGGTATTTATTCAAAACTCCAGTGTAGTTAAGGTTTGAATAAACACCTGAAGCTGAGGTGTTTTTGTCAAAATGTATCAAAATTTGGACTTTGGAAAATCGGACCAAATATAACAACTTTCCGCTGGGAAGTTTTTAGGATACATAGGACGGACTTAATGCCCTATCAGTCAACTCTGAAGCTCAAGATGAATGGCAAGTGCAAAACATTCAAAAGCTAATAGGTAATGATTTAGTAATTTCATGATATTTTGCGAAAACGATAACAAATATAAAGGCAAAATATGACAGAAGATAGTAGTGCCTTCAAGCATGGATATTAAAAAGTGATTTAAGATACATTTTTATACATTAAGGAGGACATTCCAAAGAAGTACAACCCGCACTATGAATCAATAAATATAATGGTGTTTTGGATTATTTAGCCAGTTTGATTATTGTGAAACATGAATATGATTGGAATTGATATATGGAGATATCAAGGCGCTTGCCGCTGCAGTAGCGTATAATAATCTACCACCCTATATCGCCCTGTGTGTGTAGTAAGAGACGACTATGGAATAAGCCAGAAGGATGTTCAGATAGACGGCGGTATAACCATCTCTTTATGCCAGGAGTAAAATACTCAAACAGGTAATGGGAAGTAGCGTCAGTTACGCTATAAATCTAGTTCTGTGATCGTTAATCCACCTCCCAAACGCGGCGATTAAGGCAAATTAATTCTCTACACCAAAAGAGCAATTTTTTGACATCATGAAATGGATGGTGAAGACGCTTTAATTTTCTTAAAATGATTTGTGATAAATAAGAGTAATGTTAACCTGTTATAATCACGCGGTAAGACTTAGGAAACGTAAGAGATTAAATTAGCATAAGCTTAGTATTGAAATTAGGAAAATTTTATAGATAATAAAAAGAATGCAATGTGGCTACAACTTTACCTAGTGCTTAATCTTTAACACAGGTAGGTACTATTATACTATGTAAGCAGAGATTTTGATGGAATGGGATCAAAATCCCATTATAAACTCAAGGAGAGTAAAATTTCCATAATAACTATACCGGCAAAATTACAACACTAACTGTGGTTGAATTGACTGAGAGGTCATATGAACACGTTATCATTATTTTTTTGTCCGCAACTAAAACCAATGATTCGAGATTGCGTTAAGACATTCGATGAAAAAAAATTGTTAAAAGTTACAGCCGTCCCACTGCTGGGCACAGGCCTCCCCTCATTTCTGAGAGGGTTTTTAGGGCAAGGAAGTGTCGCCACGGTGCCCCAATGCGTGTTGGCGAGCTTCACATGTCTTCGAAATATTTATTCCTCGTTTTACTTATTCCTCAGACATGCAGGTTTCCTCACGATGTTTTCCTTCACCGCCGAGCACGTGGTAAATCAGCACTTAAAATTGCAATTAACAATTATTCGATGAAAAATCATCCGTATTATACAGATTTATTATGCATAATATATACGTAGATACTTTATGAATTTAAAATATATATAGTAAGTATATCGCTCAATGTTAGTTTTAAACAGAAAAAGTCTGTCCTAAAAAAACAGTTTTTGACGCCCGCAAAAATAGGCTGTTTTATATTAAAGAAGTACAATAGAACCATACAAATGATTGTAATTTATTTGAAATATTCTTTCCGAACTGTGTACAATCAGATACATTCCTAAAACTCTGGTACCATAAGTACCTATTACTTTTTAGAAGTAAAAAAAAGTAAAAATAAATATCAGTATCTAATAATATTAATGTGACAAGCGCCCTAACAATCCTCCTGGGTGGTAAGTGGGTACTGCAGCCTACAACAGCTCCAACTAGCTTTCCAATGAAAACTATGGGAGCGTGGTCACCTCTGGGGACTAAAATGTAATGCCTCATAGTTCACAGCCAGTCATTCAAGTCATTTTTTTAAAACAACAAAACTTTATTTAAAATGCATTAGATATCATATCTCATAATAAAAACTTCAATAACCATCATTTTATAAGACTTAGCAATAAAATATTAGTCACTTCAATAGATGAAAGAAAATGTGGCATCATTGATAGTTGATAAGACAGATTGGGCCACTTGCGCAACTTATCAGTTTTTGTGTATAATAGCAATAAATTCTACGATATAACTTATCATAAATAGCAATATGTGCCGAATTTATCTAATGATTCTCATTTTTTAGTTCTAATTTTAATACGATGTCTTAAAATTATTAAGCATTTATAATTATGTGACCAACTAAGTACTCAAGTGTACGTAAAATTGCTCTGCTCGACTCGAAATCAATATTGAATAACTCAACTAAAGAACTATTGGCGCCCAAAGTAATGTTTCTCGCTAAATTATACATAAGATAGAGCCCCCAATAACTTTATCATTCTCTAACGTAACACGAAACTTGCCAATGGTTCTTCAATGTCAAACTCATAATAGTCTGTGGTCAAACAGTTGCATAGAGTACAGATTGTTGCAAAAGATTTTTAAAACGTTACCAACAAATAATTACCAATTAATATAATTTTTTGTGATTTTAAATGTTCCTTTTTCGATGATGTGTGATATGTATATCGAAGCCAAATAGCGTTAATGTTATATTTTGTATTTGAGATATCTGTGTTTAAATCTGTGTGAAAAATATGGAGTTGAGAGTAAAATAAAGCTTGTTTAATATCAAACTAAAAATTGTAATAAATTACGGTTTTATTTCTACCACTAATATAAAATAAATAAATGAACAAAAACCCACCCAGACCAGACCCTTAGTAAAATTATTATTAACCCCTCAACCCCCAAGCGGTCTCATGAGACTGCGACCATATTCCGTCAAATCCCTAGCGGTCTCATGAGGTCACACCCACCCACAGCACTTTAACCCATAAACACTTATATTAGAACTAGTTTTCTATAAAGAAGTTTGGCATTATATAATCAATATGAAATACTCTATCCTCTAGTGCAATAAAAAAAAACTGTTATCTTAAACGGGCTACACACGAGACGATATCGGTGGCGATCTAGGGTGGAAAGAAATCGGGGCTTTTATCGGGGCAGACCCTACACACGGGCCTGCCTAGCAGTACGCGTTCGGACTTGGAGCGGAACACATATGCGGTAGAGTTCTTCAAAATAGCTTCAACTCTCTTAAAACACCAATGTATTGGTTTGGCATTAGCCCTCTCGGTAAATTTATTCGAAAATAGAAAAAGAGGAGTTGCTGGGTGAAAAAATGGCTCCAAAAAAAAATAAAAATTAAGCCACATAAACGTACTAAATGGCCTGTAATCCAAGGACGTGATTAATTTTCTCCGGATGGATGAAGACAGTTTTTAGAACCTTCTAGAAATGATTTCGCCACTTATATAAAAACGTCAATTTCTCCTACCTATGCTATTTAGTTATTTCTTCTCTTTGTTCATTTCTGCTTTGGTCAAAATCTGGTTATGTATACACACAACAAACAAGGAAATAAAATACTTTTGTATAATAATATGTATACTTTTTTTTTAATGTAATCTTTATTTATGGAGTAAAACTATCAGAAAATAAAATAGCTTATATCTTTTTTTAAACATAAAGAAACCTTTAATTTCGGACATACTCCCTTTTATATAACTTGTTTGTTGATGTGGAGATGGTGAAGGAGTAGAAGTTAGTTGTTGATAAGAGGATGAAGGCACGTAAGAGATCGAAGTGTGGTCTTGTGGAGTTGTAAGAGATATGAGTGCGGTCTTGTGTTGATAGCGTTGGAATAGGAGTTAGTTGTTGAGGAGAGGCTTTATCTTCTCCTTACTTACATCATACACTCTACGAACGGCAATAAAAAAATTAGTTTAGTAGGCATTCTTGACCATGTCACTTCGCAGGGTCACAGGCTAGGGTGGATATGATTTGAATTTCGATAAAATTTCAATTAATTTATATATTTTATTCACTTTTTTTTTTTTGGTTTTTTGTAAAATATCAGTGCCATAGGCTTCTACTCCGTTTATATGATTAAAATGTAAAAATTTTGTTATATAAAAAAGGTCATTCAGTATCACTGTTTTGTTAACTTCCTTCCGCGAGGGTTGCCGGCAGCGACTGCCTAAAGAAATCGGGCCGATGCGCCTACACACACGCAGTAAGGAGGGGGCGGTGCCCCGATCTAGGAAGCATCGGCTGATCTAGGAAGCATTTTTTGCTCCTGCCAGCCGATTAAGGAGGCGATATCGGCCACGACTTAGGATGGCCCTACATACGACACGATTTAGAGGCAATCTAGGAGGCATCCCCACTACTCCACCCTAGATCGCCACCGATATCGTGTCGTATGTAGCCCGCTTTATGAAAATTTATTTATAATCTACTTTTATTTCGTACGCCCATTTCGCGTGAATGTTATTGTGTTGATTATTGTATTTTTCCAGTGTTTTATTAGTGTTTTAGTATAGTGTTTTATTACAAAATTGTAATGAAAGTTTTTGTGGGAATATAATTTATCTATTTACGTAAATAATTTCGAGTAATATATATTGAAATAATTGTGATTTTCACGCCGCCGATATTCGCTTGGTATATTTTCTTTTTTGTTATCAAAATACAATAGAATCTTTTTGTAATGAAGTAATACCTGACTTTTGTTTAGACCACAAGATAGAGAATTTTGTATAGATTTTATAATGCTAAACTTCTTCATAGAAAAGTCGTCTCTAAATATAACTTTTAATGGATTTGAATGCTGTGGGTGGGTGCGGTCGCTTGCGAGCACCCATCGACTGCTCGGGATTTTTATGGCGCTTGAGGGGTTAAAAATAATAATTAAACACACAAGTATGATTGCCTAGAGGAATTGTAATTTGGTCAATTATTGAATATTAATAAAACCTCAAAATTCAGTTACACGAAAAAAACGTTAAGTACTTATTTCTTTATTACATGACGTCACATCAACCTTTACATGAAATTTGGGTGTTAATTAAATAAATTACAGGTAACATTTTCTTTTGGGTTAGAACAGTTTTAGAAAAGCAACTATGTTTCTATTTACACTACTTTTCTGTCTGAAATATGTATGTTTGGAAAACAAACGATTTAAGCCATTACATGATCTGTATTCTACAGTAAATTATACGAGCCATATAATACTATAATACACAATAGAATGGCTGTCAACCTTATTTTGTACCGAGGTTCGGCGTCGCCGGGAGCACACATTACGTCGTATTATCAGTTAATCACTACTACAAACCCGATACGCTGTGTTGACAGACGGATTTTAATACATATTTATTTGTAAATAGCGTTCAATTTGGCATTTTCTAAATAATTTGCATGCAAATTTTGGAAACGATTGTAACGTCAAAACACATCTCGTGTTGACATTTATACGTGTGAATTGACGTCTTGTGGCATTTTAGTGGCAACACGGGCTCCGCCCACACCCCTGTTCTATTATGTATGTATTATAGTATTCTATGATACGAGCAAAGTGCAAGCGTACTTACATGGGTGCTTCGGTCACAGCCTGTGTAAGCGCAGCCACGCGTGTTTCTATCGTTTGATAGCTGTTGTGTAACAAATCAAATGAGAAATCAAAAGTAAGGAACTCAACTTAACGCTACCTTTCACAAATGAAAAGCTCAAGCAAATCATACAGCAAGGGTAAAACTTTCGTTCTAAATTTAAGTGACTAAGGGATGTTCTAACCCGCGAGAAACAATCAATCACCAAATAAACATTTGAAGAATATAATCTTTATATATTTACATGTTAATGCAAAAAATGAAGTAGGTACTTACACTTGGCTCTCCTTAACGTTTTTCAAACCCTGATTAACGTCTTCGGTGATCTCCTTCCAAACTGTTATGCCAAGCTTCCTTTTTAGGTCCGAGCTCTGACGAATCTGTAATATAAATAGCATATCTTTGATGAGTAAAAATTACGTGGTAACGTGTTAATTATTTAGCAAATGTATTGCTATTATATAAAAATAAAAGAAAATAACAATATATACATATAAAAATAAATAAATATAACTACTCGATATCAAAATGAAAATAATTAGAATATCAAAATATTCTAACCCTGTCGAATTTCGTAAATATTACTATGATATTTTTTGCGCACTATGATATTGAAAAAAGTGATCTTTAGCTTTTTTAATCAACCGAATAAAATAAATATACCTTTACACAAACAGGTGATAAAATTTAAAAAATTGTACAACTGACTTCAATATAAATAAAATGAAAACATCATCTTCAATACAAATAAAATGTAGACGAACCCAATTAAATAAGCATAATTAAGGATAACTCAAAAACTATTGGTCAGATCTTGACAAAATTTATATGGGATTACATGAGAATCACGAGCTTTCAAATAAAAAATGAATCATAAAACAATAGTACCGAGTTGAAAACCTTCTTCTTTTTTGAAGTCGGTTGAAAAATACATCATCATCATCATCATTACAACCCTTCACAAGTCTACTGCTGAACATAGGCCCCCTCAAAGAAATGCCAGAAAGCACGGTCCTAAGCCTCACTCCATCTAGTGGCCGCCCTGCACTTCGCTTACCGGGAGGAGACTGCTATCGGTTATCGGGTTCTTCGAGCTATAAGGCCATTGTCACTTCAGCTTGCGTTACGACAAAAAGTTGCATGAACTGATAAAATATATCAAATTTGAAAAAACGGGAATCTTATGAATAAATGAAAGTAATATCAATTCAAAGTCGTGAAATAGGACTGTCTCATTTATAAGGCTCTGTTGACTAGAGACAGGCCGATTATTCCTCTCATATGCAGTGTTCGGCATATTTGACAGCTTTACCGAATATTCGTTCGTATTAGGCTAAATCACCGAACATTCGTTAAAATGGTACTCAAAGTGTCCACTGTATTAAAATGCACGAATTGAGTAATGCCATGTCTTTCATAATTTTACTGTTGACAGTATATTTTATTTAGGGGTTAAATCTACTTACATAGCGTTATATTTTTGAGGCACTGTAGATTTGTTTCGAATTATAGCAAATAGAAAGCTCGATAAAATGTTTCTGAAATCTAACCAAGAAACATTACATTACATTAGTACATTTAACTTTCAGTTGTCTGTTTCTCTAAAATAGGTTCAAAATGTAGATCTCCTGCCACTCATTTTTATCATATAATTATCAATTTTTATAAATACTTCTTTCTCACAAAAATAGTCAATACATAAGCATGTGCTGGTAATTGTCTCAGTACCAGATGATGCAATAACATGTCAGCTGTGGCGGAGGAGTGAGGAGCAGGGTCCTGCGCTAATTCCGTGTGCTTTACGGTAACAAGTTTAGACATAAATTGGTTAGGTACCGAGGTGATCCTGCCGAATAATGTTCGGCCGAATATTCGGTTCAGTAAAAGTTTTACCGAACTTTCGGCCGAATATTCGTATTCGGGGAAATCCATATTCAACGCATCTTAGTTGAGAAGCATGACATTGGGGGCGTACCTTGCTCTGCAAGACCGTGCGCAAAGTGGCGATCTCGTCCTCGACGCGCGCCAGATCACGGCTCCACTCGGCACGCAGCTGCTCCGCCTGCTCGAGTGTCAACCCCTCCAGCTCATCGGGCATGTGAATATCGCCACCACCCGCGTTCGCCATCGCTTCTTCCGCTAAAATATTTGCTATTTAAAAAAATATTCTCCTCTTTTTTTAGTAACAACCTTTCGCGGTTGACAAGGCCTTTTAAGACGTGTCACCGCAATACATAACTTAAAATATTTGGCATTAAAGAAACGTCGGGCGGGTTAGTGGGTAAGCACAGCATCGTGATGCGTTGTCACCCGTGAGGACTAAGATGGAAGGCCTCGTTTCCAGTAAAAAGGGTCTTCGGTTCTCTATACTCACCATACGAAACACAGCAGCATCAAGCTACTATTTTACGCTGGTATTCTGTGAGAGCGTGGTCCATCCCCGTTCGAGCAGACCCATCCGTGCTACACCTACACTACTAATATAACTGCAGCATGGTTCTACCACGTATAGCTTGTGACTATAAAAATAATAGTTATGTCCCATGATCGTCAAGATGCCCATTCCAAATACATCTGATCAATGACGAGAAGCAGGTTCTATGGTAATAAATATGAAAAATTGCTAAATCGACTGTCACAGGTTATTAGGAATACTATTGGGAGAATATCAATCGAGTTGTAATATTGATAGAGTGATCTATAATTACGGTCTAATGGCCGTCCGCTGCTGAAGGACTGTGCCAGATATATTATACTATTACGCCTGGCAGAGGCATTGATGGTCACACTATCAAACATTTCGGAAAATTAATACCTACTGATTTCCGTCGTTAGTCTAAATAGTTAATGTTTAGCTCGACTGAAATAGTTTTCTTGTTCTAATTGGGACTTCCAAGATTTTCGTATATAACTATGTTTACACTAAAAATAGAAAATAGTGAAGCGTAAACGCCATACAAAACCTCATGTATTTATTTAGATTACCGATAAATAATTATCTATTAGCGAAATACGCGTCCACATCAAGCAGAATGGATGACGGTTCGCTGCGCTTTAAACCGCCTTGTGTTGCGTCACTTAAATGTTGAATGTTCCGCACAAATATACGTATAGTTGTTCGGCGAAGTGAAGACCTATCCCCGATTAGTACCGTTTTAATTTAATAATCTTAATGAATTAATTCACTTGCCGTGTTGTGGGCGGCGTAGAACACCTTATCTCCAGAAGATGGCGGTATACCATGTTGTGTATGTCAGCTATAAAATACAGAACGGCGATGGGGAGCAGTGTCAGTTACGAAACACACTGTGAATTCATCACAGTCATGGCACAAACATCCTACAACGGGAAAGGCCTATATTTAACAATGGATACTGGCCGACGAAGAAGAAAAAAATGTTAGTAGTGCTCGTCATAACAGCCTATCAGAAAAAGTCTACTGCAGGACACATATCTCCCTCTTAAAATGCCACACGCTTGACAAGTGGATTGGTAACAGCAGTTTTTAATTACTTTCAGTCGATATGATGCCACTGAGCCACTGGATGATATAGCTTTGTTGATTCTTTTACAACGTCACCACACAGCGTACACATTTTTATCATCTAAATAGCTCGATCAAATGAATTCAACATAACATTAGAGTATGACAAAACTTAAACAATACGCATTGATCATGAGCTGTGATGATCCTTGTCAGAATATTAAGTCATAGTCATTATTGTATTGTCATCAAGTCATCGTTTTTTTATTCGTCTGCAAAATTTTAGATTAATCAGATGTCTGGAAGTACCTAGGTGAAAACTGAATTAAAAAAATCCATTACATACCTATATACATAGATACATAATGTTCAAGCCAATATAAAACGTTTACAATTTATTATTTTGTTAAAGATTGTAAAATGTTTTAAACTTCGGTCTAGTTTCATTGAATTTTCTTCTTATTGGTGAAACTAATAAAACGACGATAAAAACTACGTTGCATGTTAGGTGGCCGTAAAATTGTAAGTAATTAGAATTGGCTGAAATATGTTTTAATATAAATTGAAATTTAAAATTACCTTTACATACAGTTTTAAGTAGATACTGAATGCAAAATACGAACAGTTGAATTCGAAAATAAAATTTCCTTCGTTTTGGAGTTATGTAGCACGCGTACGGCGGACTATCTTGAATGAGTGCTACCCATGGAATACTATAAATACATAGTACATAGTGCTACTCCTATAACAATTCCCCCCCCCCCCCCCCCCCCCCCCCCCCCCCCCCGGGGGTCTCTTTTCCCCCCCCCTTCAAAAAATTTTTTCTTAAATTTAAACCCTCAATTTTTTATTTAAAATTTTTTTTCAAAATATATATAAAAAAAAAAAAAAATAATAAAAACCCCAAACCCCAAAAAATAAAAAAAAAAAAAAACCCAAAAAAAAAAAAGGGTTTGATGTGGTTTTGTAAGAAACTTATTCTCCCAATGTCAATTTAAGCACCCTATTTTTAGTCGATTTCTTAAAAAGGACAAAGTTCTCAAATTACAATATGTTCTTTTTGTATGTGTATGTTCATACGATATATTTTTCAATGGTGAACCGATTTTAATTATTTTGAATTAAATTGAATGGAAATATTATGCAATAAAAACTAATTTACAGAACCAAAAAGATTAAAATAATTTTCACGTAACACAAACAAACACTCACGCCTATCACCCAAAGAGGTAGGCAGAGACTATAGACTTCCATTTAGCACGAGTCTGACATACCTCTCTCGCCACCTCCACATTCATATACCTACGCATACATGCTCGTCGGTTAAGGGTACTCCTAATTTGGCCAATTTTCAATACGTCGCCAATTTAGTCGATAAACTTTCGCCTAGGACGTGCCTTTCCGACTCTTCCATTCATTTCTGCAACATAAATTTGCTTTGTCACTCTTTACTCATTCATTCTTTCTACATGACCAAACCACCGAAATATTCCTTTCTTAATCCTGGTCACAGCATCATCTTGCAAACCACATTCTTCTTTTATCACACAATTTCTCACCCTGTCCTCAGATTCAGCCCTAACATACTCCATAGCGACCGCATTTCTAGTGCATTTATTCTACTCTCGTGCTTCTTCTGCCACACTCAACTTTTACTACCATACGTTAAAGAAGGGACTAACACAGCATTGTGAATTGCCATACGTGCCTTTTTCGACACATTCTGACTTTTCACAATAAAGTGTAGAGGCCCATTTACTTTATTTCCTGCGTCCAGTAGTCGTTCTATATCCTTATCATATCTCCCATCTCTGCTGAATGTACATCCCAAATATACAAACTCATCTACTTACTCAACCAACAAGTTGGTTGGTTATTCTTTTAAGTTCTTTGAAATCGGTTTTTAATTTTATTAGAAGTTTAATGTTTAATAAAGTAGAGGCATTTACAAAGCGTGGGATATAAAAAGGCGAAACTAAATTAATGACACAAACTGGTGATAAGGAGCAGCGTTTCGGTACGCTCTCCAGCGTGGTGTGTATGAACAAAAAAGTTCTGAATGGCAAATTATAAATTCTTGGAAAAGCTATATCCAGTTAATAAGAAGAAATAAAAAAAGCCAAGGCGATTCTTCTGACCGATTATTATTAAGTAACCTTATTGTTTAATATTCGTTTATTAATCACTTTCTTATTTAATTTATTTTTATTTACGTAACGAGTATATCAAAACAATAAAATTATCTTTATGATAAAAACAGTTGCACCGTAATGTGAAGAAATTCTTTGCGATTGGGACACGAATTACATTGATAAACATTATAAACATTAACGAAGTAACTTTTTATTATGCTTTGTTATGTTCTTTGCTTGTTCTTATGCAAATACAGAAATTAAACTTTCGATAAAAAGTGAAAATCCGACGTCAAAGAACTAAAAACGAATACATAAAATAATTTCCACATAACAGCTTCAGAAATCGGTACTAAACTGTTGAGACAGTGTAGAATTAAATATGCAATACTTACATTTAAATCGGTTCACAATTGACTAATGCTCGGTTACTGAGGTATTTTTATCGGTTATACATACAAGATAGAACATACAAACGAATCAAGAACCTTCCTCCTTTTTTGTATTTTTTATTATTAGAGCTAATTTAAAAAGGTTGGTTTACTCAGGTCTGCCGCATTTTAAACACTTAGTGATAACGAATACGAATACGTCAGTGAAATTAGCAGGGCAATCCTCAATGTGCTGCATAACGCCCAATAAAACCTCAAAACAAACGAGTTTTTTTTAAATTAGTAAGTACTATTACCGTACTAAACTATATAACCGTACACTGTTTAAGACAAAATGGCCTCTGAAATTAAAGGGACGTAACATACTGGACACGTTTAGCAGAGATTAATAAACGTTTTATGCTTTTTAGCAAGGTTAAGTATATTCAGATTTGTTGTTTTATGGATGAAATACACAGTTCATCCCAAACTCTTAAAGTATCGAATAACACATAATATGAGGGGTATGTTCTGAAATACAACGCAGTGTACTGTCCAATGCAAATGACGTCATCATTTGACACTTTATTGTACTAGCGTGCCGCTGCCATATTGTGTCGGATATCCGGCCATAATAAAACAATTTTTAATTGTGTGTTTGCCGAATGAAGCATGCCAGAATTTGTTTCTATTTATTCAAATACAAAAAATTATAGTATAATTGATAGTATATCCATTAGGAGGATATAATGAATTTTGGAGCATAAAATGACTAAATAATCGCCAACACTTTTCCAAATGGCGCAAAACTATGACATCATATATTGTCCAATGTTTTGGAACGAATCACCAGTATAGCGTCGATTCATGACGTCATTTGCATTGGACAGTACACTGCGTTGTATTTCGGAACATACTAAATATTTAACTTAAATTATTTTGGAATGTAAAGAAGTCTAGTCTTGTGGAAGTGCGGAAAAGTAATACGCTCAATTGAAAATAAAGTACGTAGGTACGTTGTGACTGGATAAACAGTATCAATATTAAAAGGATTTCAATTTGTGATTGTTTTTTTAAACTATTGCATTATTAACATGTCCTTAGTCATTTTCGTCAAACTACAGTACGATTGTGAAACTCTAGTGGGAATCG